TATTGTATATTGATGTATGTAGATATTTTATACTAGTTGTAACAATTGAATTTACGCGTGCCTCGTGGACAAACAAACAAAACTAAAAAAGAAAATAAAGTAAGAAAAAAATTCTAAAACAATAAAATTCCAATTGTTTTAAAGAGAGGGAGTGGAGTGCTCTTATACATAAAAAACCAAAACAAAAAAAAACTGTAGTCAGTCAGTTATGATTGAATGATTTAAAACAATTAGCATGTTAGTTGAATGTAATTTGATATTTTGATTTGACATGTTGGAAGAATTTTCACCAAACATTAGGAACACATATTATGACTGTTGATATTCGAGGACGATTTGAATGATTTTGATTTACACTTTAAATTGTTGCTGTTTAAATGAATATGGTTAATATATCCACTTCTTGTATAAAACGATCTGTCAAATATTATTTTTATTTACATATACATAAATTATATAAATATTTGTAGGGTGAAATTTGTTTGGCTAATTAAGGCACCTCCAACGTAAATGCTCTCCCATCACTTCAATAATTCAAAAAAATTAATTATGCATGCACTTGTAAATATTAGCAAAAAAATATTGGCACATGAGAGTACGAGTATAAAGATTTTTGTGGGTAAAATATGTATTGTGTTCACACTTCTAACAAAAAATCAGTTAATCAGTTACAGAAATAATGAATTCTCGTGTAAAATGAAAAATTAAATCTTATCCAAAAGATCAATAGAAGACTTAAGGATGTGAACATTTCTTTTTTACTTCTTTTCTCCTTGTTCTACATTTAAAATTATATTTGAACTGCTCATTTATTTCTCTTTAATAAACACACATATATTTAAGACAAGTTTACATAAATAAATTTACATATATGTATATATTAATACTTACATATGGATATTTTATGTTTGAATAGGATTCCCCTGCTTAAAATGTTTATTTTACACACAGTAATAAAGAGCATTATCCTATACAATATTCTGTATAAATAGAATGGCTTTTTATCTATCTTTATTCCTTAGAAAACAAAAAAATTATCTTCCCATTTTTTTTGTTTTGTTATTTTTCTTTGTATTTAACACACCATGAATTGTATTATATATTTAACAATTTTCATTGGGGGTGATAATTTGTTTTCATTAAATTTGTATTTGGTATTTACTTTTTAGTTCCGCTTTCATCCCATAACCATTTTCTTATAATATTGTTATTTTTTTACATGATGCCCTTTAACATGATTCTCTGGTTTTCTGTTTTATTTTTTTCTCTCAAATTTTATAGCTATTTTGTAATCAACAGATTGAATTTTTTGTATAATGTTATTATGAACTTTTGTTTGCTGTTGTTGCCAACATTTCAATATTAAAATAATATATTAAAAGGTTGTGGCGCAACTTACTGCGGAACACAATAATCACTGTTTCTGCTGAAAAACATTGTAGATGAGGAAATTCGAAGAAGGGGAATTTTTCTTTGGGATGGTGTTCAAATTTGTGCGACTACAAAGTCCCTGTGGCCGAAGAGGAGCGGTGCAAGAACGATTAATCTGCTGGCATTGAGCAGTGAGCATCTCAGTATTGCGGTTGGCATTTTCACGGGACACTACTTATTAGGAAAGGACGCTGGGCATTTCCTCATCGTATAGCTGTTTAATGAATTGTAAAAAGCCCCGCGGGCATCCATGTATTATGGGCTTCTTAACCTATTGGCCTAGTGTTGACGTTACAATTGTTTTTTGGACGCCTGATGTCTTAAGTTTTAACACATAAAATTGATTGAAACCCTATGAAAATAAAAGGTTTACAATTACTGCTTCACTAAATAGATAAATATAAGAATTTGAACCCCCTTGAAGAGAACAACTCAATTTATATTTTTATATAAATGTAAAAATCATTTTCTCGTTTCTATATATTTGAGCAAATTTTTGGGGGTTGTTATTTTATTCATAATATGTTTATGGCTTTTTGATTTTTAAAAAAAAAACAAAAACTGAATAGTACCTTTTTGAATAAGAAAACTTTTTTGCATTATATTGAAACGTTACAAAGATTTTTAATAGAACCACACTTCCAAAAACCCAACTAAAAACATTGGAGTGCATGAAGTTGTAGGTAAATTCTTATCTTTTAAGAAACATTGCAAAAGAGTCCGTGATTCACTTACGAATAAGTAAATTTTTTTAATGTTTATCAAATACTTGTTAATTTTAGAATTTAATTGAGCTATGTCTTTATCTAAATTTGTACTTTAAAATTTCTATATGATTTAAACTTTTACTTCTGATAATTCTATTCAAATTCCCAAAAGTGTGGTTTACACTTTTAGGTACGTGCATTCATTGAATTAAGTTTATTAAATTAAATTAATGCGTATATGTTGTGTGTATAGTATATTATTTATACACAAAAGTATGTATGTATACTTGGAATGTATATAATATAATAAAACAAAAAATTTTCACTAACAATTTCTTGGTATTAAAGTGTTGACAGGTTATGACTTCATTAAATTCATTTTTGGCCGGTTAATATATTTTATATTAGCCTGAAGAGTGTTAAATAAAAATTTGTTTTTACTTTTCCGTTTGTATTTAATTCTTAAGAAAACATTTTAACTTTTATCAGATATTTATAGGATTTTTATTATAAAGGGGAAATTGATGCAAAATTACACTTAATTTTTTGAAGTAAGCAGAATAGTGTGGTTTGCTTCAAACTGCAATATTTTATATGTATAACAAACAATGAAGTATGTGTGTGCAAGAAATCAGAAATAATTGATTTATACCTGTGTTTACACGATGACTTTTGTATCAATTGATATAAATACGTTTCATTCCTTCAACAGGGAACAGCTGCTACTCATTGTTGCACATTTTTGAAGTTGCTGCACTCTAAATGCATATTTTATAACTAAAATGACGACAAATTTTGAGTTCGACCAACCATACAATAAGTTCGCCCAACTTGGTTTGACCAACTTACTGTATGTAAACTAATTCCTTTCACTCAACACCTCATAAAGTTTATGACCGGAGATTGCATGGCTATTTTTGTTAGTTTATCAGCAAATTTATTTTTGAAATTATTTTTTTATTTTAATTATACCATGAATGAATAAGGTACATTATAATATATGTATAGAGTTTGTTTTTCTTTTTTCAAATTTTTAATTAAAATTTTATCAATTAATTTTAAATACGTATACATTATTATGTTTTTTTATGAATGGTGCTTTAAAACCTATTGAATATTTTTATTATTTTGTTTGAAATTATTCTACACAAAAAGGTAAATAAAATATTATGGTTGTTTGCATTCAATTAATATGTATTACATTATTGTACTTTGTTAACGACTCAAAAAGTTGACGTTCTTGTCATTTTACTATGGCGTAATTTTAAACAAAAAGGGTAATCTATACCAACTATACTTTAATATTTGATTTATCCTGATATATTATAAATAGTAAATTTTATTTAAATTTAATTTTGTTAAATTAAATTTTTTTAAATTAAAATTAATTTAAACTTAAATTTTATTTACTATTTATTAATATATCATATAATTTTATACATCAAAAAATGCTTCAAAAATTGTTCTTCTCTCAATTTCTTAATTAATAATGTAGATGGCGAAGTTCTCGCTTGACGTTATTATCAATTATTTTAATCCTTTTAATATTGGTTTGTGTCTTAATATCACGATAACATTTAAAAATTATGAAATGTTATCGTGATACTAAACTTCGAAACAAACCCAAATATTTTATCTAACGGTAGAATTTATAACTAAATTTTATAATAAATTTTCAAAAAGCACCAAATATTATCTTATTATTTTATTGTATAGATGTCGTACAACAATAAAATCTTATATTCTGTCTTATGTTTGCTAGGAAGCAAAGGAATTTGATGTGTCAGATTTCCCTGCTATTTAATAAACTGTACTAAAATAAGAAAGCAAACCAAAACTTGCCACAAAATATTTTTAATACAGATTTTATTATTAAAAAATATTATAGATTATATTATTTAATAATATAATTTGCAACGTACTCTCAATTTCAACTTTGCACTGCACATTGAATTCATTTTTTTACATTTTGGATTGTAAAAATTACATTTCGGGTAGTAAAACTCTAATTTAGTGTAAAAATAGAACCAAAACGGTGCACGATGGCTCATTTCCGTAGTTAACCTAGGTCCTAGAAGAACATCAGCTAAACAGCAGAATCAACTGTTCACTATTTTGCTTATAATATCACACACGCACATAGAATCGGATAATGTCAAAAAAAAAAACGTCAGCGGTAAAATAGGATTTTACACTACTTTTACGCTGTCGACTAAACTCGTGGCAAAGGTTTCTGAAAAGTTTTATTAATATATCATGCGTATGTGCTTTATATTTTTCGCCTTGGAAAATTACTTTTGCTCGGTTTTCATATTTAAACAAGTCGAAATGATACACAAAATACCGTTTCCAATTTAAAAGAATATTTTCACAAAAACTAAAATTCAAGTAAGTGAAAATATGAACCAAATCAAAATAATAACTTTAAAATTTTCACATGTATTATTTTTTATATATTTTTTCAAGATTTTAAAAATTTTCTTATAGTTTTCATTTTCTTTCCACAAGATGTCCCCCACAAAAAAAAATTGACATTACAAAATGTCAAATACATAAACACAAAAAAAAATGCTTTCTTATTAATCATTTTTAATACAAAAATTTTCCGTCTTATGTCGCTCCCGCTATCAAAATAAAGCGGCCATTTCTCATTCCATCTCACTCATGCCAATGAAAAAATGAAAAGGATAACATTAAAATTGCGTTGAAAAAACAACAAAAAATTCTCTAAAAACCAAAAAAAAATAAAAATTAAAAAAAAATTAAAAAAACAACAACAAAATACAATAAAACAAGACAAATCTGAAAGAAAAACGTATAGGTGAGAGGAGAAGAGAAGCAAGTAGCAAGAAGAAGAAGAAGAAAAAAAGTCAGAAAATCGCGTATGAAAAAAAAAGGGAAGCGCCGAAAAATAATCAAAAAAAAAATTTTACAAATAAAAAAAAACTTCATTTTTTTTTTCAAATAAAATAAAAAACTTGAAAAACTTTTTTGTATACTTTTTGTTTTTTCCAAAGAAAATGATAATAATAAAAAAAAAATAAGGTTTTTATTGTAAATAAAATAAAAAAAAAATTTTTTTTAATACAAATGAAAAAATTTCACTTTCAATTACCAAAAAGAAAAAAAAAGAATTTTTAAGTGAAAAAAAAAAAATTATTCATGGAAGAAATTTTTTTTTTGTGTAGAAAAAAATTAATGGAAATAGAAGAGGAAAGCAAAAAAAGAAAAATTACCAAGTTAGAAAAAAAATGTTGATTTTTTTGAAATTGAAAAAAAAATTTTCAAAATTCTTATAAAAAAAAATCAAAGTAATTTTTTTTTTTAAATTGTAAATTGTGAATTGGAAAAAAATCGGAAAGCATCAAAAAAATTTCCGAAAGAATTAGAAGAGAGAAAAAAAAAATTTCGATTGAATTTGAATTAAAAAAAAATTTCTAAAAAAAGAAGAATTTTTTTTTTTTAATGACCAAAGGAAAGAGAAACCAAGAAATTTTTTTTTTTGTACAATTTACCAAACCAAAAACCAATTTTTTTTTTGTCCTATGGTGATAAATTTTTTTTTTCTGGTTGTGATTGCTTTTTTTGATTCTAAGAATGTGTAGTGTGGTGTTGGTGCTTACATACATAGTTATTTTTTTATGAAGCCGAGTGAATCTTTCTATTTTTTCAATTAAAAAATTGAATGGGAAAATATAAAGAAAAAACAGACTAATATAAAGCTAATCCTAATTTGAAATTTGAATTTTTTTTTTTGAAAATTTTTTAAGAATCACACACAATAAATATTATGAATGCTTTTGACTAACTCTTGTTAGAATCACAATATTTATAAATACTTTTGAATGACTCTAAATATATGTATAATTAATATTTCTAATATTGTGAACTAATTGTGAATTAAAACATAAAAGCAAATAACATAAGGCTATCGAGAATAAGCATTAATTTAAATCCTCTTTATTAGTTTTAGTACAGAAGAAATATTTTATATTTTAAAATATAATCTTGGTTTAATAGAGTAAAACTAATTTATAAACTCATAGAATACAATTTCATACATAATTATTAATTTTTCAATCAGTTTATTAATTGGTAAAATTTAATTTACATATTTTTTTGTTAAAAGAAAAAATAATAAATTTTATTAATTAAAATTTGGTTTGCTTTTGTATTTTTTGTGTTTTAACACTCATTATTTCTCAAAAAAAAAAAAAATTATTATTTTTCATAACCTATCAATTGCACCTGACAAATGTACCTACCTACCTATACCTACCTACATTACTATACTACCTGTCTATATATGTATAACATTATAACCTAACTTTTTTCTTTCTATAAGAATTTTTGTGTTAAAGAACAGGCACCTTACACCATCATTATTTATGTTTCAAAAATTAAATAATTACTGTTTTCTTTTTTTATTGATAAAAAATATTTTCAATAAAATTAAAATTTAAAAATAATAAAAAAAGTGTATGTATGTGTGTGTGTGTGTCTATTATTTGTATTACAAATTTTTTATAAATTTAATATTTTTGTTCTTTTCTTATTTTCAATGTGTGTACTATAAACAATATTTAAAACAATATAATAATAAATAATGCATACATACATAAGTACATACATAAAATGTTTTCAAAAAAAAAAAAAAAAAACAAAAACAGAAGTTTTTTTTTTTATTAATGTAATAAAATAAAAATAAATGCGTTGTATTGCATATAAATAGTTCTATATAGATATTCAAGTATGCATACATAATATGACTACATAATTAATAACATTTTATTTATTATTTGAATAATAAACTACTTACTGTATACTATTATTGTAATTATTATTGTAATAATAATTGTTATGACATTTGACAAGAATTATATTAAATTTTATTATATTGTTGAATATTTTATAATGTAATGTAAATATTTATTATAAAATATTTTGCACCATTCTATTCCAAATTAATTACAATTAAAATTTAATTAATATAACAGTTAATAATATTATGTTCTAAACTGAATTTATTTTTAAATACATACATGAATGTGTCCCTTATCATTCCGTAAATGTTTTCATTCTAATCTTATAAGTTTTTGGTTTCTGTTATAACCGAGACTTTAGGCACGTATATTATGTGTGTAAAATTAAATTTAATTATGTGTGTGTTTAAAAAATTTTTAATATACATGTTTATAAATTAATTAATGTGTGTTTTGAAAAAAAAACCTACCCAAAATCATTATTTTCTATTTTCAAATAAAATTCAATTTAAAATTTACAATTTTTTTTTTCTTTCCACTTTTATTTTCATTTTAGTTTTACAATTTCATAAAGCTATAATATTAATTGTATATTATTGTGTTATGAATGTGATTTAAGTATTATAAAAGTGTTATAACAACTTGAATACTTGCATTTTTTTTTATTTGAAAGAAATATTTCACTAAATTCAATTGTTTTTACAACAAAATACTAAATATAATTATTTGAGAACAAAAAATTAAATCAATTATTAATTTAAAATGCAATCATTATGAAAAAAATCGCTCAAATTCCGAAAAAAAATACAAAAAATATTTTTATTACAGTGAAATCTAAAAGAAAAACAATTTGAATTAAAATTACCGGCATGCATATTACAATTATAGCATTTATAAACTTAAATAACAAAAATAATAATAAAATAATTAGAAAAAATAAAGTGTAATTAATAACAAATAGAAATAATATTCACCATATGTTGAATATGTAAAATAAAAAAGATATTGTTTTTATTTTTAAGAATAAAGTTTGTATTGCATACCTTTACCTATATACTTACAAAATTAAAAAAAAAATATACATAACAACGTGCTCATTTAATAAATAAATAAAATGTAAACAATAATAATAAATAAGTAAAAAAAAAAAATTAAAATTTAATTGAGAATTACTGATAAAAAAAAAAAAATAATATGAGTACAAGAATAAAAATAATAAAAATTTTATTTACATAAATTTTTCTTGTTTACTTTTTTTTTTTTGAATATTTAATTAAAAAATTAAGCCGACATTTACTACAAATAAAAACGAAAAAAAAAAAATAATAAAAAACATTCTTTACTACCTTATCTTTGTGACCAAAAAATAAAAATATAAGAAAAACATTTTATTTAAAATATGCACACTCACACAAACGTAAAGTGAGAACTTAAGTAAACTACTTGTCAAAAATCATTCATCAAATTTGAATTTATTTTTTTTTTTTTGTTTGTTTTAGAACAATTTTTTTTTTTCAAGTGTTTCTCTTATTCTTGTTGTTTTTATTTATTTACTGCTCATCTCTTTTCTCTTACACTCATATAATCAGTGAATTTGTTGGATAATATAAATTGTATTTAAATAAAAACAACAAAATAATAAAACAAAAAAATAAAGTGAACTCTCTCATGAAGTGAAAAGAAAAACAACAAAAAAAAAAAACAGTTTAAGAAAATAAAACAATAACGAGATTCGAGAACGGCACATTCATTAAAAAAGAAAACAAGCAAAAAAACATAAAAAAAGAGAGACAAATAATCTCTTTATTCTTCATTTATTTTTGCTGGTGTTTTTCCTTTCTTTTTTATTATTATTATTGTTCCCTCTTTGATTTATTTGTTTTGTTCAACATGTTCTAAAAAAAAATAATAAAAAAAATAAAATAACAAAACAAAAACAATTTTAACTTGCTTGAAAGTAAATGAAGAGATGGGAGAATTAAAATGAAAAAAAAAAAATAAATTGATGTACAGAAGTTCACCACTAAAAGTCCACCATTTAATAAAATAAAAACAATAAACAAAAAAAAAAATTTTTCATTAAAAGGAATAAAATAACAATAACAATTAAGTAAAGAGAAAACAAGAAACAAAAAAATAAGAACATAAAATAAAAATTAAAAAAAAAATACACGAATTTTTTTAGTTAAATATAAACTACATATATATATATATATGGATGTATGTATGTAGATATACATATATTTTGAGTCGCTTTTTATGTCGTCGTTAATGTTTTGTAGTTCTTCGCATCTTTCTCATCATAATCATCATCATCACTGCAAATAAATCATGGAGAGTATTTGTAGGTTGTGTTTTCAACCAGCGGCGGTATGTTTTTTTATTTTTCTTATTTTTTTTTTCAATTATTTTAATTTTATTCTTGTAATTCTTTTATATATTTTTTTTTAAGTTTGTTGATTCTTTTATTTTCAATGCTTTTTTTTTTTCTTTGTTCTGTTTTTGTTATCAATTGCATTATTCTTTTTATTATTTTACTATTCTGATAGTTAATTAATTTGTAGAATTTGTTTATATGTATGTATAACAATTAAAATATATAGTATTAATTTAAGTACACACATGCTTATTATGTAGTTTTAAATATTTTCTATATAGGAATTTTTAATTATTATATACATACCTACTTAAGTTGCATATATTTTTGTATAAATGATTAAATAAGACTGCAATGAGGTGCAATTATTTAATAATAACACAAGAATACGTATTATTTACATATGTAAATGTGTATGTTTGTAATTACATATGTATGTATGAAAGTATAAAAACGTTATAGGGTAAATGAGGGTATTTATTTGCTGTGTATGTAAAACAATGTTTAGAGCTTTGAAGAGAAATGCTACCTATGTGCCTATTCATTAAATTCTCAGAATTTTTTTTAATAAACGTGTAGAAGCTCTTCTTCTTCCGAAAATACTACAAATTAGATATGATTCTAAAATATTTTTCTTTTGACATTATATGTATTAATTTCCAGACCACTGATTTAATTATTTACATTCTACATAATCTTGCCAACACACACATTTGTGCAAAATTACAAATTTAAAATTACATAAGCCTTAAAATTTCAAATAAAGCTGGTGACAAATTTCATACAAATTAAAACTTGCATTTACGACAGTGTAGTAGTTGCAAAAAAAAAAAAAATCTCATATATAGGTATTAAGCAAAAAATTTTGCAAGCAAATCCCAATAGTCATAATTTTTGACCAATTTCAAGGTACTCTGGTGAGAAAAATTTTAAAATATGCCATTGATAAAATATAGTAAAACAATTTTTTTTTAAATATTTGAACCTGGTTTCCAAAATTTTCAAATTTTCATAAATGTTTAATATTTTACCTATCGAATTTTCAAATAAACTGGTAAATTTCCAGTAAATTTAAACGGCTATGTCATTTTTTTTATCCCCGTAAATATGCAATTCTGCTTTACTATGCAATTACATATTATGTATGCAGAGTTGATTTTTCAATTACATAATTATGTCTTTGAGCATCGAATACTAAAACATAAGATTTGATAACTAAGCATTTGTACATTTAAATTTTGGAATTTACTATTTAAGAGAGTGGGTAAAAATGAATTTAAAATGAATTTCCAATTTTATTCATCTTCGAATTTAATTATACTTTTAGGGGTGTGAATTGCTATACTATATGTGCATGCCTGAACATCATACTTATAGTTATATACAAACTTTTTCATCTACATATTTAAATTTCATTTTCTGCTCACATTTTGTTTTTGCTTGTTTCCTTCTTCTTCCTTTTTTTTTTAATATTCTAAACTAAAGCTTTCTCATCTCTCTATTACTTTTTGATTATTGATTTTTTTTTGTTAAGACACACAAATACATACACATTTGCACATTTCATTTCTTGATTTAATTTTTTTATTTTTTTCAGTTAATAATAATAAAAAAATAAGAAATAAAACATAAAATTTATTGAAATTTTTGGCGCGAATTTTGTTTTAAAATTTTTTTTTAAAGTTTTTTATAGCAAAACTAAGTTTTTTTATACACCTTTTTTAAGTGTGGTTGTAAAAGTGAAATTTTTATTTAAACCGCTAATTAATTTAATGATGAAAAAAAAAAATTCTCACCAGTTTTTTATGTACCTATGGCGTAAGTTATCTACGTTCATATGTGTGTGCATAAAAATTGTCCGAATGGAAATTGTGTACATCCTTTTCTTTACACAAAGTATATTGCATTGTATATGAGTAATATCCTGAACTTTTTCCGAAAAAGTTTTAATGTTATCCTTTGATTTGAAAAAGAAAATTAACACCCATCTTGTATACTGTTAAACTTTTTGTGTGTCACTAAAGTTTTTCTACAATTTTGAATTTTTTGTGTATGATAAAGATATTAACTATGTAATGACCTCAACAATTTTCTACAATATTATTGTATTGCATATTATGTTAGTATGTATGTATGTAAAAAAGTGTGTTTTGTGTATATGTAAATTCTAAGTTTGTATGTACTCAAAGTATTTTTATAAATTGAATTACTTATTGCTTTAATTTTATTAAGTGCAGCGATTTATTATAAGGACATATGTACTGAAATATGTAAATATGTATGACTAGAAGATTTTTGTATAAGTACTAGAATTTTAATATACTAATGTATAGGGGCAATAATCAATAAAGAAGAGAACCATTGTAAAAAGAAAATTTTTAAACTTATGAAGGAAGAAGTATTAAATAAGTATTAAACCATGTAGGCACTCCAGTTTAGATTCGGCGATAGTAATTTATTGCAACCATCGCCCATTAATATTCCGAACTGTTGCTCAAACCGATTTTTAAAATGTCATTTACCCTAAACAATTTTGGTTTTATTTTTTATTTAAATAACCTGCACATGTATAGGTTCACATGTACAAATATTATGTTTGGAAATCAAGATGAGTAAGTCTATTAAGTATAAGTGATATTCAATTAAATATAAATAACCCTTAGTTACTTTAAAGTTTGAAGACCGCTATAATATACTTATGAATAGACATAAGTACTTTCATTCTAAATGTACATAGTTGCATATTCTTACATACCATTGAAATACATACATATAATTTAATAATGTTATTAAATACATAAGATCTCGGAGTATTAACTGCAATAATAATATTATTATTTACTATTCACCAATAGTTTTTATGCATAAATATACTTACATTCATAATTATGTACGTACATACATACATACATATAATATAATCTACGACGTACTTTTAAATTAAAGTGAAAATTAGTTAATTTCTATCTAAAACAAAAAAAAAAAATCATCAGAATTTTTGTTTTATAACTGCATACAATAAATTTTAATATACAACACAATAGTTCAACATACATATATACATACGTATATCGTATAATAACTCTGTATATATGTTTGCTTGTACATATACGCAAATCCAATGGCAATAACAACAGCTTAGTTCCTTAGTGTATGTACATACATAAGTATATACGCCTCAAATTAATTTTTCTATCTGTTCTATATCAAAAAATATTTCATTTTTTTTTTTATTTTTCTGTTTTCCTTTTATTATACACCACAATTCATCTGTGCAGTGCATACAAGTGCTAACTCCTGTACTTGAAATTAATAATTTTGAATTTTAGAATCCTATGTTACATTCAATATGTGCGTGTGCATATTTATTATATTATGTTACGTATGGATGTGTGTATTTAAATTGCTGTTCAGTATATTTTATAATAGTAGTTGGTATATTTTTAGTTCATTGGTATTCATATTTAGTGTTATAGAATAGAATATTGAGTGTAATAATTTTTGTCAGTTCTTAAGAGAAAAGGAAGTAATTTTTAACTACAATTACTGCTGTTCGGTTTGAAAATAAAACAAAATACAGCTGAGTGAAGATTGCCGGCCGGTTACTTACTAATGTTTACTAAAGCTCGTATAAGTTGATTTAAGCAAGCATTCTCAAACTCTTAAGAACAAAATTAAAGCTTTTTTTGAAAACAGGTATTTGAAAAATTTTCGGCCAGTCGAAAAGCCCTAAATTTCCTTTGATTGAATGTAAACATAAACTGTACATACATACATAATCACCGCACCACTTACTTACTCGTACGCAATACGCATAGATAACTAATAAGCACCAAATTGGTATGTACATACATTATACATTTACATATTTTGTTAATTTTACCAATTTCGAATATTTAGAGTTAGAGAGGAATGAGTTCTTTTATGTTGACATTATTAGGCGCGCAAATCAAACAAAATGGAAAATATACACAAATTGCACACATTATAATATATGTATATAATAAAATATAGTCATACATTTATGTTCTATAAATTGTACATGCATACTTATTTACAAAATTCTTATTTATACATACACATTTGTATATACATATGCATATGCATGTATAACATTAATGTAAGTAAACGTACCTTATAATCTATGTATATGTCATAAAATAATAAAAACTAAAAACACTGGAATTGAATTGAGACGATAAGCAGCAATAGCAGAACAGCAGCAGTAAAACAAGAGAAAAAAAACAACAAAATAAAACGAAATGAGTGAAAAATAACAAAACATAAAAAGAAAAAAAATAATAACACTGAAAATGAAAAACAAGAAATATAAAACAAAAAAAAAAAAACAAAATTGAGGAAAATTAAAGTTCTACAAAAATTCAATCATTAAGAACAGTTTACAAATTCAAGATATCAAAAAATTTTTTTTTGTGTAGCACTTTCCAATTCCTTGAAATGGTGAATACCTATTTTCGGAATAATGAATTAATTTCAGTCCCAAGATTAACTAAACACAAGCCCTTGAATACGTTTTCTTTTTAAACTTTTTGTCCTCATTAAAAACGCAACAAAATTTTCCTTTTACAATTTTTTTACTCTCTGCTTCTATTTAACGCTATTTTTAAAGTATTTAGTCTTTTCGGAATAAGAATTATAACATAACTACATAATAATGTTGCCAGTTTATCCACTTAATTTTTAGTAGGTACTTTTATTGCCACTGTGTTCAGAATTAAATTAGTTATTCTAGGAAAACCTTATCATTATTCCAGTTTTCCGAATATTCCAAGAGTTACTCCGAAAATTCTGATTACTTTGGCAACTCCGAATCTAGATTTTTTGTTTCGATTTAAAAAGCTCTAAAACCAAATTTTAACTTTTCAATTCCGAATTCAGTTCCGAGACCCTCAACTTCATTAAATTGAGGAGAAATTTAATTTAAACCCTGAAGGAACTCTATTTCCAAATATTTGGCCCTAGCCCATCTAAGTAATAAAAATTAAAATTGAAAACATTTCAATTCGCATTTTTTCTTTTATTACTTTTGTAAATTAACCCTAATGAAAAAAGAAAAAGAAAATAAAGCAAGAAAAGAAAATAAAACCGGAGTAATATTGTTAGATTCATTTTTCTTTTTTTTTTATTCTTTCCTTTTTCATTTTGCCTCTTTTATTTTTTTTTTATTTATTCGTTTGTTTTCATTTTTCTTTGTATTTTGTTTTTTTTTTATTTGCTCATTTTTGTTTTTTGCAACGTTTTAGTACCACATCCAATAATTTTGCTTATTTAATCAGTGGCGTCTTCATAAATTTTTCATATTATATTATCATGTGTTTCAAGAATTTGAACTTAAATAAGAAATTTATAAAACTCTAGAATTCAACATAGATCTTACTTTTCTTATTCACCATTAATCACTTAAGTATTTTCTTTTTGCTAGAATTTTTTGTTATAAGAAAAATAAGATATTGAGGTATTACTAACTAAGGTATTTTTATTTGATTGCCCTCCATATACATATGTATGAACCCGTGACATCCATTTCGTAAATAAAACATAAAACTAGCAATATCACATAATCCAAGATCCAAACCAAAAATTTTTTATAATATCATATAATCCAAGTACAAAGGTTTACGTTTTGTAGATGCAAAAAAAAATTTCAATGAATTCATTTTACTAAAATAGACGCTTCCACAGTTAATTAAAAATTTTAAAGAATAGAACTGTCAAAAATAAATTGTATGACAATAATTGATGACTTCTAAGAAAAGTTCAAATTTATGATCCAAATTTTAAATTGTAAGCAATGCATTATTTTTACAAAGCAAAAAGACTGCTTTTGTCTTTATTGTTAACGGTATGTCACCGTTATTATGTATATATTATGCTTAAGTGAATGTTTATTGTGTGAATGTGTGGCTTGTATTTGATATATGTAGTGCACAGTTATGTGAAAGTAAAAAGTTTTCGCAAGAATTAATCTATTTTCTATTTACCCCTATCCTATTGGTATTTAATTGTATTTTTTTCAAGAAATGATAGCTTACATTAACTAAGTATGTCTGTTAGTAAAAAATAACTTGCAGTTATATTTTATGACTAGTACAATATACGGGAAATCCAATTTATTCTATGATAGTTATGGAAAACTTCCGTTTACTATTTTTAAGTTTTCGAGCCATCACTGTTTTTAATTTAATGCTTTCCACCCTAATCGGTGTATGGCTACAGAATATGTACATGTAGATATACATATAATACAATATAAATACATATAGATAAAGGTACATATATAGAATCCATATACTTCTTGAAAAATATTCATTCTCTCTGGCGGTTATATATAAAGTAACAAGCAAAATTTTTAAGTTTTCAAAAGACATCGTACTCGTCGACATCGTCGTCGTCGTCGTCGTCAATTTCTTACATTTTGAATCTTTTTTTTTTTTAATACCCTTCACAGTCGCCGTGGTTTGTGTAATAATATATGTATCCAATATAAAAAAAAAAAAACAAAAAGAAAACGAAAAATTAAAAAAAAAAACAAAAAGAAATTGAAATTGAAAGAAAAGAAAACAAAAATAACAATAATAAAACGCAAAAAGAGGCAAAAAAAAAAAAAACAAAATGAAAATGTACGATAAATATAAAAATAAAAAAAATAAGGACTCGTTGCTGCTGTCGCACATTTTACACACAACAAAACAACACAAACCGACATTGAAGAAATAACAATAACAATAAAAAAAAAAGAAAAAGCAAAACAGAGGGAGAAAAAAAAACAAAAAATAAAAAAAAAGCGACTGGAATAAATTGAGTAAAGTAAAAACCCAACCTCAACTCCTACACAACAGAAAATGAAAAAATAACAACACAACAATAATAAAAATAAGAAAAACAAAAGAATAAAATAAATAAATGGGGAAAAAAAAATAAATAGAAATAATTCTTTATTTATTTATTTTCTCTTTTTTCTCTTTTTGTTTATTATTATTTTTTTGTTTTTCAGTTTCATTTACTATATTGGATAGTAAGTGCGAGTTCAATACACATATTTACTCTTACATACATATATATCTTCTAACATAAGTATATACATACATATTCTACTTTTAAAGGTTAGTTAGAATCTAAGTTGCAGTGCTGTTCAGCTTTTTAGCTTTAATTTTTAGTTCTCTTACAAATCTTCTATATGCATACGTACATACAGTATATTACACACATGAAAACATATCAACGGTTTTGTACATTCTATACAAACATACATACATGAAAATTTATATCAAGCATATTATGCAGGTACATACTCACATACATATATACAAATCAAGTAATAAAATGATTGCTTTGGTCATTTTTTCGAAAAGTAAAAATTTGCCAATTCTCTTTCAAAAGTATTAAAATTGTTGGATAGGGATTTTAGGCTTAATATGTAACAAAACTGTGTAATGATACCAACCCTAAATACTTGAATACTCAAAAATTAATCTTAAATATGAAATAATTTTGGTAAGTTGTTTTTAAATTAGACCTATGAAGAAGATGATAACTTTGAAAATAATATTAAATACGTACCCGCGTGTATAAAATATGCAATAATTTCAGAAAAGCAGTGAAAAAAAGACTTAAAATGACAGAATTAAGAATATTTAATTGACTCTGAGGCGTTCTGAAGGAAAAATACTAGTTTTGAAGCAGAAAAATTTAAAAATTTTGTTAAAAACTTAATTCAATAGCTTATAAGACTTATAAGGAAGATTATCTTCTATCACTCGTCCACATTTTCAATATGACATACGAAATTAAATTTAAATTTAAGAAATTAACCTAAAATTTAAGAAAATTGAGTTTCCAGTTAAGAATTTAATAAAATTTTCGTACACATTTTCGTCTTCCTGAAAATTCACTCCTTATTCATTTTCTTGAATTTTTTCTCAATTTGCAAATAATTTTCTTTTTCTTTAAATTCAATTCTAATTTTATTTTTTACTTTTACTTTTTAAGTAAAATAGTATTCTAATTATGTATAAATAGTATTCTAATTTCTAAAAGAAATTTTCTGTTTCTTCAATCTACTAAATAAGGTTCATAACAAACTGTATGGTTTATATCCGTTAACATTTTTAATATCACTTATATACTCACTCACACTTATTTTAAATCACTTACTACCTAGATATATTAGATTTTGTCTGACTGTAGTGCCATTACTGTACTTAATACTTCACTCAATTTACTATTTTTACTCTAAACTAAGAATTCAATCAAGGCATTAGTCACTTTACATGTTTATTGCTTTAAATCAGCTTTCCATTTGCTCATAGAAAGTTTGAGGTTTAGGTTTTTCAGAATTAAAGTGCTTGTTTTATAAAATTTTTTAAGTGTGGCAGCAAGCATTTTATTAAAATACTGAATCTTACGTCTTTATTTTCTCACAATCTCATTCACTTTCATTAGATCACAAAATTTTATAATACTTAAATATGTCCAAATTTCCCAATTTTAATATTCGAAATTCGAAATACCTAAATCAGTTTGATCGGTCAAATATGTATCGATTAAAACAATAATCCGTGCCTTTTTTGAGGGGGGTATAAATAAAATGACCCATGTATCCATCCATTAACGCGTTTTATTTTTATTTCTCGTTCCTCTTATTTTTTTTTTTGTCTTCTGTTTTTATTTTTATTTCTGTGTCTTTCTTTCACATGTTAAATTATCATTTTATTTTCATTTTTTTTTGTTTTTCTTGTTTTTTATGTTTTGTTTTCCTTTCTTGTTTTTTTTTTTGTATTTTTATTTTTTCTATACATACATTTTTTTTTTTTTTTATTTAATTTTACCTTTTTTGTATTTTCTTAATTCAGTCAAGTAAAGTTAGCTAGCAAGTAGTGTAAAAAAAAAATATTTCAAAAAAAAATGTTGAAAAAAAAATCTAAAAAAAAATAAAAAAAAAAATTGAACAAAGAAAAAAATATTAAGTAATTAAATTTTTTTTTATTAAATTTAATTTTCATTTGAGTATTTTGAAAATTTAAATCCTTGCTTGCTTGCTTGCTGCTAATTTATTTAAAAATAACCCGAGAGTCACTTTAATATTACAATTTTGAATTCTGTTAATTATCTAGTTATCTATATAGTGATTAAATTATATTTACATTTATAACATAAATTGTTATACAAAATGTTTGTAACAATTAGTAGCACCTTCATTATTCTTACAAACAAATTTGTTATCTTTATTAAAATTTTGCTTACTTGCATAGCAGTAATTTTATGATATGAAAACTTGATAGTGATTATAGTTATATTGTTTGTGCACTCTTAAAGTATGTATGTATGATGTTATGATTGTGATTATTGTTTTGAAGTGTAAAAGTATGTATGTATGTATATTAGTATGTACAAATTATGAGAATGTTAAATTTAATGTTAAAAACTGTTATACACTTATTTATTTAAAGCTGTTTTAAAGTATGACCATTTAATAAAGTGCTTTGACTGCCTTGCACTGCTCTATATTAAAAATATTGTTGTTGTACCAATTTTATTTCAATTGTATTTTTATTTTTTTTTTTTTGCTTTTTCATTACTTTTTACATATTTTTATTGATTTTTATCATTTTTTCTTTTTTCTTATTTTTATCTCGTTCCTTTTTAATATTATTATTTTTTATTTTTATTTTTATATTCATTTTATTTTTTCTGTTGTTGTTAAATTAATTAAAATACAAAATAATAAAAAAAAAACTAAAATATACACACAAAATATATTTTATATGTGTAAAAAAGAAAAGAAAAAAAAAACAAGATTTACTGATTAAAAAATTTATTTTTCTCTTTTTTTTTTTTCTTTTCATTTTATTTTTCTTCCTTTTCATGATATTATTTTATATATATATATTATAGCTTTTTCAAGTGCCAGGATATAATTTACCAACATGTGTTAAATGTTCAGAACATTTAACAACAAATGGGATACCAGCAAATTTTTATCAAACAATACGACAAGATTTGGTTTCACAGCCTAATTCGGTAGTTGTATCAACTGGCGGTACCAATCTTATTCAACAACAACAAAATAATTCTCAACAACAGCAACAACAACAACAACAACAATCTCAACAACAGCAACAAACTCAACAACAACAATCAAGTACCAGTAGTAGTAGTAATAGACAACAACAAGAACAACAAAATCATAACGAAACAACTTCACAACAACAACAACAGGCCACAACAATTGTAAGTACCATACATAATAATATAATATACTTAATATAAAATAATATATATATATATATATATTAATAATAAAATATAAGTACCTACATTAATTTACTATAATCTGGGCTATATAATATGTTTGCACATTTATATGTAAATATATTTTATGCATATTATATGGGTAGCCGCCACATTAATATTTGGTGCTTAATGTAGGTATACATATCGGTTAACATAGGTAAATATAATAATGCGAATGGGTTTCAATAAGTTTTAAAATTAAAATGGAATTCGTATACATGTATGCATACATATGTATATTCGAATATGTTAGGATGAAATTTAAATATTTTCGGAAACAGAATTAAATTATTATAAAGTAAATCTCAGTTGTTTTAATCATAAATTTTCCTAGCATTTAAGATATTTAAATCCGCCCCGGATAATTGACAATATATCGGTTTGTGGTTTAAATTTAAATATTATACCATGGTCTAAGTAGTTTATAGCGCTTTACAAAAGCGAATTTTTGTAATAACACAACGAATATTAGTGAATATTAAGTTTTTTTTATTTTAAAACGCAGTGCTACTCAAAAAAAATTATATCTAGTTCTATTGTGTAATTATAAAAATTGTCTTTTGTATAACACTATAAAATCTATACAAAATGATATTACTTATAAATTATAATCAATTATATGTATTTTTAATTAAAAACTTACATACCATTTTTTTTAAAGATTATTTTGAAATCATTTGATTAATATGAGTTTACTTTAAAATTTAAAATTTTATATAAAAATATTGCATACTTTTAGGCAAAAATCCAAAATATTATATTTTAAAGTTTTTATTTTTTCAATAAATTTCATTCATAATTTTGCATTTTAACATAATTTTTAAATTATATATATGAAACAATTTTATATTAATTAATTATTAATAACTATAGTCATTACTTTTAATTTCACTCATTGTATATTTGTAACAATAAAACACTAATTATAAAAAATACTGTTTAAAACCCAGTATTTTTTAAATAATTTATTAATTTATCACAATGACAATTAAAAATTATATTATAAAAAATATTCATTATCGCAATTAATGCAATATTTCATAAAACAATAATAAATTCACAATAATATTAAATTAAATATTCACAATGTTAAAACAAAAATTGAAATAAATACACAAAAATACAAAAAAAAAATTCATTAACTTCTAAAAATTTTTCCGTACACAAAACATTATCATTTGTATCTACAAAATATTTAAGCCCTTGAAAATATAAAACTTTAATAAAAATGTATAAATGTAGGTTAATATATGACCTATATATTTTCCTTATTTATTTATTTATTTACTAAAAGACACTTTTTATAAAAAAACAAAAGTTTATATTTTTTTACTCAATCACGTTTCCTTTCTTTTCTTTTTTTTGTTTTCTTCATTTCCTACTTTTTTTTTCATACTACTTTTATTTTTATTCTTTATTATTTTTTTAATTTTCATTCCTTTTATGTATAAAACATACTTGCATGTAATTGTCATGTTTGTTTTTCCATTTTATACAAAAATACTCAATAGACGAATTTATATTTTAACAATAATATATTTATGAGTATGTCTAGAGAGAATAAATAACACAATAAAATTATCATAAAAAAAAAAAAATCTCTTCTTTTTAAATATTTTTCTCAACTTATCATCTACTAAAACAACATTCCATTACACACATTTCAATATTTTGTCTTCTTTTATTTTTATTAACAATATTCTTATTATTTTTATATGATTTTTTTTTTTCGGGTTATATATTGCTCATCTATTCTCATTTTTTACGCTCTTCAAAAAAGTTCACCAAAAACAAAAATTTGCAACAAAATTTTCTTTTTATCTATTTTTATTTTTATTTTATACTTACTTATATTTTACTATTATTATATTTAACTTTCATTCTCAATATTCTATTATGTGTAGCATTCAAATTGAAAAATAAAAACGACAAATGCTACAAAATAAAAAAGAACAATCAGTAAAAGTTAAAAAAAAATTCTCACAAAAAAAAAAAAATAAAATTTAATAAGAATAATCAAAATCACATAAAAAAATATATAAAAAAAAAATTATATATAATAAATACATTATAGTATTACACATAAATAAAGTGAAAAAAAGAAGACAACATAAACATTAAAAAAAAAATTCAATAGATATGTACATATATACATATACATGCTTACATATACATAATTCACTTATACTCTCAGGAATTACCGAAAACAAAAAATTAAGGATTCAAAAATAAGTACATGAAAACAACAAACAAAAAACAAATTTCCAAAAATAAGAAAAATAAAATTTTCTTTTGCTTTTGCGCCATCTATAATAATATTTTTTTTTAATGCTTTTTTATAAAAATAAAAATGCTGCCCTCTCTGTACTGAAAAAAAATTTGTTAAAAAATTTTTTAAGTAGAGCAAAAACAATAACAACAGCATTATATTTACATATTACATATTATTATTTTTGTATATAAATTCAAAATATACACTTGCATATCATAAAATACAAACACATTGTATGTATTCATAAATCACAATGCATTCAAAAATATACTAAATATACCTATATATATGTATATACCTATATGTATATCGTAAGTATGTAAAATGAAAAGTTAATTTTTTTTTAATACAAAAAATTTTTTTATTTATGAGTCAGGAATTTTTTATTTAACCACGTTTTTCTTTATAATTTTTTTATTTTTATTTATTTATTTATTTATTCATATTAAATAATATATAAACACATGTATATATATGCATGTATGTTAAGATAATAATATTTATATTATTCTTTTTACCGGTTTTTCTCTCTCTTGTTTGTTTACAAAATAAATAATAAAATGTCAAAAACTTTATTTATTATTATTATTATTTTTTTCTTTTAACTCATACCATCTTAAAAATAGAATAACAATAAAATATAATTTTTTTTATAAAAAAAAAAAAAGTGAATTATCAATACATTAAATATGATGACGCAATTTTGATTTTTTTATTTTTGTTATGAACTTACCCAAGTACACAAAGTATATTATAATATTTAAACTTACATTTATAAACTTATATTATATATATATATATAAATAGATTATACAATTTATATCGTAAAAAATAAACGTAAAGAATAATTTCATTCAAAAAGGCAAATTTTCATGAATGATTATTTTTTTTTGTTTTAAATTTTTTTTTTTATTTTCGGAATTTATTAAAAAAAATATTTATTATTTAATTGATAAGAAGAAATGGAATAATACTGATAAGAAATACAAATTGTATATAAATGTATATAAAGATGTGTTATAAATTAATTTATAATTGTTTACTAATGATTTCATTTTTTAAATTAAATAATTAATATTAAATATAATAAAAAAATAAATGTTTAAACAGAGCTTATAGCGGCTAATTTGTTTTTGCAATGTTTTCATTTTTTGACACAATTCGTTACAATATTGTCAATGTCAAGTTGACTTACTTTTAATTTGACATTTAATACAAAATAGAAAATATTATAATTGAATAATTCTACCAATATATGCAATATTTAACAATTATTAATTAGTAGTAGGTAAATTTTTTAATTAATTTAATATTAATTGAGAATTAAATTAAAAAGCGTTCGATTAGTAATTAAATTTTCACGTTTTGTCAATCGGCCGTCTAAATCATGCAATTTGATGCTCTAGTCTCTAGCATCTATTTTATGTGAGAAAATAGTTTAAAATTTTGCCATTTTCTCACATAGAGAAATATCATTTTTTAAAAGAATGAGACAATTATAATATTTGTTTTATATTTTGCTATATGGTTTTTTTTTCAAGCTACTTAAGAAATTAATTATGAAAGAAAATTTTTAATAAATAATTATGAATAATTAATTAATTACCATTTTAATTTCAGATTAATCAAGCTTTAAATTCGGTGGCAAATCAAAACGGAAAGAAATCAAGTAACGCTAATATGCAATTCGATCTGGAAAAAACAATGCAACATTTAGATGTAATTACCATATATAATTCTTGAATTGGAACTTTAATTTTGTATTTAAAGAAGTATTTTTTCATATTTTTTTCCCCCTTTCCTATACTGTTTTTGTTTCTTTTTTTCAATTTTATTTTGAATTTGTTTTCGTTTTCCTTTTTTTTTTTTTTGTACCATCAAAATTTTTGTGTTATTTTTCTGTATCTAGTATTTTATATCACAGGTTGATTTATTATTTAATGAAGAAGGATCATGCCCGTTGTGTTCTAAAACATTTTCGCGTAAATCATCTTTATTAACGCATATACGTAATCATTCTGCAGAGCGGAAATATGTATGTACATACTGTCAAAAAGGTAATTGTCAATTTAATATCTATTTAATAAAAATTATGCCCAATATAATTAAAATTTTAATAAAAATTAATTTATATATTGTTTTTTATTTTGTAAAGGTTTTACGCAAGCAGCTAATTTAAGAAATCATGAAAGAATTCATACTAATGATAGACCCTATGTTTGTGTAGATTGCGGTAAAACATTTACACAAGTAAGTAGAAAATTATTTACTTAATATATTTTATATTATATTTTAACTTTCTTCTATTTTTTTAGATAACAAATTTAAATAATCATAGAAGACTGCACACTGGCGAAAGACCTTTTGTATGCATTGAACCAGAATGTGGCCGATCATTTGCTCAAGTAATATATACAAAAACGAAATTTGTATTTTGTTGGTCTAATTCAATAATCAAATAAAATTTTTCTGAAATAATTTAATTTTGAAACAAATAAAAATTAATTTTTTCAACAAAAAAAAAAAAATGTTTTTCTAGGTGACAAATTTGAATAATCATATGAAGACGCATCATAAAGTTCAACAATATTGTTGTAATCAATGCCCAAAGAAATTTACTCAAGTGACATCATTGAATCAACATTTACAAGCACATGCTGGCATTACTGGATATTACTGCCCCCGATGTCCGGAAAAAACGTTTAAACAACAATCACAGCTGCATACACATATGAAATCTCATGGGTTGGCTTTTCCTTATGAATGCCTTAAATGCGATGAAAAATTTCTCCATCAAGCACACCTAGATCAGCACAATAAAATGCATGATGAATTCAAATTTAAATGTGACATGTGTCCGAGCTCTTTCAATCAAGAGGCTCTTCTAAAGAAGCATATTCAAAGACATATCGAAGGAAGGTAAGTGCTTTTTGGTGAAATTTTTCATTGAAAGCATTTTGCGAAACAAAATACAATTTTAAATACATTTTATGTATAAAAAAAAAAATAAATATAAAAAAAAAGTACTTTGATTCGGAAAAAAAATATATATATAATTATATATTGTTTGCGGAAAATGTATAACATTGGCATCATAATGTTTTAATAGAAAAAAAAATTGATTTTTATATTAATTAAAATAATTGTTTTTTTATTTCTTCTTTTGCAAATTCGAATATTCTTGTTCTCTTTTCCGGATATATCTCATCAATTTTGTCTCACCTGATCATATACAATAAATGTTACTGTTAAATTTGTTATCTATAAAAAAAAAAAAAAAACAAATATGTATATAAATATATACACATAGATATATAACATGTCCGGTAGCTAATTGTAATCAAAGTTTTGCTGTTAAACAACATTTAACAAAACATTTATTAACTCGCCATTCTCATAATGAACTTCCACCGCCAAAACGTTCGAAAAAAACACTTCAAAATTTAGTAGTACAAAGTGGTGTTCAACAGCATCAGTCTCAGCAACAAGCATTGCAAGGGGTTGTTGGACATCAAATTCAAACAACAATGGTCACTACAGGTCAACGTAAGTATTTGAAATGACAATATCTTCTAAGCGGATGGTGCAATTGATGCTCACCTTCGATTGGATTAAGAAAAACTTTAAACTGGATTTTCTTTTTTGCGTTTTTACTTTTTTCTATTCGAAACTTTTATTATTATCATTATAGTAGATATCAGTTTAAGAAAATGACAAATAGATTTGTAATACTTATTATGATTTTTTCTTATTTTTTTTTAGAAATGCTAAAGCTCTTGATGAGTTTTAATTTTTATAATTTTTATATCAATTTATTAAAGTTAATATTATTATTACTTATACCGTAGGTGGTCGACCTCCAAAGAAAAAACAACCACAACAACAAAATGCTGTAAATAATATAATAATACAACAGGATGTAAAATTACCAAATGTAACGGCTGCATCGCTACAAATAAATCATTTACAACAGCAGCAACAACAAGCTGCTCTTGTAGCCGCTGTTCAACAGCAACAGCAACAACAGCAACAACAACAAAACGGAGAATTAACGGGGGGCCATATTAAAGTTCGTTATAAATAATTAGTTTATTAATTCTAATTTTTGTTTTTAGTTCTTTGTTCCTTTGTTTTTTTTTTAAATTTAATTTAATCTCTCTAAAGAGTTGGTTTAGCATAATTTATTTCATTTTCTTTTTATTTTTTATTTTAATTTTTAAAATATCCTAATTTTGTATATAATATACTACTTCTTTTTGAAATTAAATTTAAGTGATTTTATAATGTACCAAATTTTAATGTTAAAAACCCTTGTTCTGTAAGCTATCTATCATATTTTCTTGTAATATAATCTTTAATTTTTATTAAATACAGTAAAATATTTAAAAAAAATTCAGTCTGGTACGCTAAAAAAACTCAAACTGATTCCCTGAATTTCGGTTTTTTCTGTTAATTATTTTGAGGAAAATGTTAATGTTATTATCAAGAAAAGGTTATGTTATATAATAGTTATTATAATCATTATTATTACAGTAAAAATCATTTTTAATTTTTGCCTTAAAAATTTTGCTTATATTTAATTTTAAAATTGTCATTTAATTTAATAAGTAAATTAAATAGTAATTCAATAAAATTTATGTAAATTTATGTTTTTATGTACGTAGATATATCCAATTATTTCTATTCAATTTAATTTCAAAGTTTAGTGTATAATTCTTGAAATTTGGATATGGTAATTTTCTGTTTATAATTTTCTTTTCCTTATTTAGTTTTAATTTTCTTTTAGTATCCAGTAATTAATTTTAGTTTTACAAAACAAAAACAAACCAAAAAAAAAAAAAAAGTAAAGAATATTAAGTTTTAATTAATATTGTCCCCCATTGTAGACGTCAAATTCAGAGAATACAACAAATAATCACCAAGTAGATGCCAATAATGAAGATTTAAAATGTAATGATTGTGGATTAATGTTCCAAACTGAAAATGAATTACGAGAGCATATATTTTACAAGCATCCAGAAAGGCGATTCATGCAGGTATTACAATTGTGTACAAAAATTCCATATTTTTAGTTCGTATTTCGAATTTGAAGGGAAAAAAATATTAACACAAAATCAAATAAAACTAAGAATATAATCAAAAAAAAAAAAAAGAGGAAAATAGAAAATAAAAGAAATAAGAAAAAAAAATATAATAAAATGCAGCGATTTATAATTATAAAATACTTTAAAACTATTTTAAAAGTTAAAAAACGAAAACAAAAAAAAAATTGTTTATTTTAGGTTTATTTTTATTTTTAAATACTTAAATTCTTAATTTTATTAATTTCAATCATAAATCTAATTTTTTTTTTCTTAACTTAAATTTTTTTAATTGTTTAAAACATATAGAACTCTTTAGTATAAATTTTAATTTAATATTTTATATATCATCAATCATAATATTTTTCTAATATACATATAAATTTTTAATTGCAAAATAATTATTTGAAAATAATTATACATTGTAATAAATTTCATGAATCTCTATAAATTATCTAAAATGAATGCATAGGTATATTTTTTTTTAAATAAACTCAATTAATTCAAAAACTCTGACTCAATTTTGTATTCTACACAAAACTTATTGCAATATAAAATATTGAAATAAATATAATTGTAAATAAATATGTTAAATTAAGTCAATAAAAGTTTTCACTAACTTTATAAATATTAATTTAAAGTTATCAAGAGAACCTAAATAGAAATAGTTTCGGATTTATGACGACCAAATAATTCAAATTGTCAAAAGATATGATTTATAAATTTAAAAAAAAAGAAAAATGAAATAAATATAACACTTTTTTTCCCTTTCAACATTAGTTCAGTTTTTAAATAAGTGGTCTTGACAAATTTTTTGTATGAGAATCATGTGCCAATTTAATACGAAAATGAATCTGTACTTTGTTATTCTGTATAATTTCAAAATCATTCAGTTCAATATAAATTACATTCTTAATATAATTAATTTATTTTATACAATTTCTAATACTAAAAAAGTTTATTGTTATTTGACAAAAGAAAAATATTTATCACCGCAATAATTTATACTTAAGAGTTCATCAAAAGCAACACAATTATTAATTTTTAGTTGCTATTTTTATAAGAAAATTTGAAATACAAAAAAAAAAAATTTTTGAATAAAATTTAAAAAATAATTGAAATATAAAAATTTTCAAATAAAAGTCTAAGAAAATAATTTTCAAAAAAAAAATATCATCCATCTAACACAAAATATTGTAAATTTTTTTAATAAAATAAGAACAAAACTAAGTTTTAATTAAATTCAGAATAAATTATTATTTATATAATTTCTTTTCATATTTTATTTAAGAATACAGTGGAAAATGTAGTTAAATTAAAAAATTTTCAAATAAAAATGTTTAAATTTATGAAATTACAATTATTATGTTACACATTTAATTTAAATATTTTTGTGATTTATTTTTATTTTTGAATTTTTTTTTTTAAATGAAATTCATATGTTTAAAACTAAATTAAGTAAATTAAAAAATGTTGATCAAGTAGCAATTAAAAAAGTTTTTTAAACTAAAAAGCGAGGATCTCAGTTTTGACGAGAAATTAAAGCATTAAATAAAAATAAAAGAAAAATCTTTGCTTTATTCTTGCAAAAGGAAAATAATTTGATATTTTTTAAGTATTGAAAAATTGTAATATAGTTCCATGTTATATTGAATTGTTTTCTAAAATTTCTAATTTAGTTTTTTTGAGTAAATTTAAATCCTAATATTCTTTTCGAATATATAAATATAATAATCAATTATAATTGAAATAAAATTTTAAATTCCGTAATAGATCTAATTAAATTTCAATCTAGAATTATTTTCTATTATTTAATTCTCAAAACTAAAAATTTAATATGATATTGTTAATTAATTAACAAATTTTTATATAATCTTGATCCATCAATAATTTTGTTTTTTAAATGTTAATTTCTTAATTATAAGAAAAAACTTTATAAATTTTGTAAATTGTATAAAATTCTTTGAATTGTATTAAAAGTTCTAATGATTTGTTCAGATCATCTGTATTAATTTAATTTAAAAATTAAAATAAGAAAAATGTTTTACTTGAAATTTTACTCTGAACATATACAATAATATATGTATTAAAAAAAATCATAAAATATCATTTACAATTTATATTTGTAAATGATTTTTAATAAAAATTAAAAATTACTTAAATTAGTTAAACATATTATAATAATTTCATTAATTTTAGTTTGTTATTTTAAGTTTTTTATAAAGTCAACACGAATATTATTTGTTTTGTTTTTACATATTAAAAAAAATATTAATTTTATTCATAAAATTAATTGTATTTAGTAAAAACTTAATTAATAAATTTTATAATTTTTAATGATAATTATTGTAAAACAAAAAAAAAAAAAAATATAATAAAATTAAGTAAAAAAAAATTTTTTTTTTGAATCTAAACCAAACTGAATGAAAAAAGTTATTAAATAAAAAAATAAATACAAATGAAATAAATTTTAAGTACGACTATTAAAAATATATTAAATAGAAATATCATATTTTACGATTACATAAGTAAGAACGAAAAAAAAAAACCAAAACGAAAAAAAAACTTAATTAGAATTTTTTTCGTAAACGTTCTATTTTATAATAAAATATTACGATAAAAATTTCTTGCAGGCAATATTAGAAGAAAACAGATATCTTATGAGAATACAAAATCAACAAAACTTCGTTTGCAATCTTTGCTGTCATGTTTTTAAAAGTCATTTAGCATTAGTTCGACATACAGCTAAATTTCACGGACAACTTTTGTAAAAAAAAATAAACTGTATATATATTTATCTCTCTTTATATATATATATATACATAAAAATAAAATAATAATAATTTACAAAACAAATGCCCTAAAACAAAATAAAACAAAACAAAAAAAAATTGAATTAATTAAATAAATAAAATAAAAATTAAATTTTCGTATAATCTATTTAAAAAAAAGTTAATTGAAAAAAAAAAAAACAAAAATAAAAAATTAATATATATTTTATACATAAAGAATAACATTAAAAATAGAATTCAAAAAAAAAAAAAATATTAATTGAAAAAATAATTTTGAATATTTAAAAAAAAATAATTAAATAAATAATTATAATTAAAAAGAAAAATATATAGTCAAGTCTAAAGTTCAAAAGAAAAGAGACTCTTAACTCAAAAACAAATAATATTGAATAAAATAATAAAAGTTAATTATGCTTCAAAATATTATTTTATTATAAAATTTTCAATTTTATTTTTTTAAAACACATACATTATAAATACCTAATAAAAATTTGATTTGTTTTTTCATTTTAATCTTTCAATCATAGAAATCATTTTACTTTCACAAAATTATTAATGAATTTTCAATAAAAATTTTAAATTGAAATTCTCAATATAAAAAAAAAAATCAATTTCCGTATTTTATATTTATATTAGAATAATTTCAAAATAAAAGTAATTAACATTTGTCAAAAATATTTGTTACCACAATTTAGAAAACCAAATTTTTTTTAATTGAAAAGTTCAAATTGTTCAAAATGATTTTATGGTTTGATTTTATGACTGTTTAAAATTATTTATATTGTATAATTTCAGTTATTGAATTAAATTTACAAAATATTTTTGTTACTTTTTATGAATCCGAATAAAATACAATACTTTAATTGAATACTAAAACAATCTTCAAAACAACAAAAACAATAAACAATATAAGAAATAATTTCAACTATGTAGGTATTTTGAAAGTAATTATTGAAATTATATTAAAAATTCAAAAAACAATAAAAAATTAATATCTGAAAATAATTTTATTTATTATTATAATTCTTTTTGTTTAATTATGTACTAGTTTTAAAACGAAACAAAAACTTGTCAAATATCTAAGTTAAAGAAACAAATAATATTTTCAATGTAAGATAAGTAAATAATTTTTAATATTATAATTTTTATGTTTTCATTGTAAGTGAGAAAACTATTCTGTTTTATTTCATGAAAACTTAAATAGATTTAAAATCGTGGTACTATATTTTAAGTTTAATTGAAAAAAAAAAATTTTAATTTTTTTTATTTTATAATAATTTGCTACAAATAGAATTAATAAATAATAATATAGTTATATAAAATCAGTATAATGTAATAATAAAATTCTCATTAAATAAAAATTATAAACGAAATTCTTTTCAGTTTAATTTTTTGTGTATTTCATTAATTTTAAAAAAAAAATTCATTTGTCAAATGAAAAAACTTAAAAAAAAAGGAAAAAAAAAAAAACGAAAAAAAATGTTAGTAAATAAAATTTTTTTTTTTTATTAATTCTAAAAATTAGATTTATAAACTGATAATTTGAAGCAAAAATAAAACAAAAAAAAATAACTAATTTAGTAGAATTTTAAAAATAAGCTTATAGTCCTAGTTTAATATAAAAATTATAAAAATACAAAATTGAGTTCTTTATACAGTATGAAAAAAATTTATAAAATAATTAAATAAGATAAAATAAAATTATCAATTAATTAATTAATTGACGAAACATATAGTTTATAATATCTTAATTTTAATATATTTTTTTTTTTTGTTTTTTAAACTTTTAATATAATATATAAGGTTCTAAAAATAATTAATAACTTAATTTTTTAAGTTATTTTTAAGACGAATTAAATACTTATATTATGTACATATATGTATATGTGACTTTGAAAAATATATTAATATTGATAAAAAAACAAAATAATGCAAAAAAAAAAAAATCTAATATTTTCTTTTATTAAAATTAAAATAACAATTATTTAAATTTCTATTGTGAAAAACTAAAGCAATCTTATATATAATTTTGTAATAATATTTAATATATTAGAAAAAAATATTATACATATTTGTATTTAAATAACATTAAGAATATTTTAAATAAAAATTCTAAAATTATGCATGACTTAAAATTAGAAATATTTTTTTTTTTTTTTTTAAATTTCCCGACAATTTAAATTTTTCATATTTCAATAAATTTAAATAAATTTGTCAAAATGCGGAACGCACACAACATATTACATATTTATACTCTTATTATGATCTTATTATGACGAAGCGAATGGCAAGGCGAGTCGAATAGACTAGGCGAATCGAATAATATTTTGAACTATGATCGGACGAATGCTTTCATTCGCCAGATCCGAAATGTTGCTACCGCAAGATATCAGGAAACCTACCGAAAAAAATAAGGTTAACACCACATATATGTACATTTTTTTTTGCTTTTTTCGCAAAAATAAATGAACTTTCCTATCTCTTAAACAATTTCGGGGTTGTTCTCCATTAATTTAATAAAATGCTCGAATTGCTTTTGGTTCTTTTTTTCACACTTAAGTTAATATTAAATAATCAATATGTTTTAAAATGATTTGTTGTATTTTATGAACTTACTTTACAGATAGTTTGAATTTTTCCATTATATCACTTATGTATTATTTTGATTTTTGGTTTCATTCGCCAACCTTGTCACACAGAATTTTTATTCCAAAAATTTATAGCTTATTCGCCTAAAATTTAGAATTCGCTCACCAAATACCAAAAATACCAAAATTCTAAAAAATTCATAAAAATACCAAAAATTCAACTCGCTTCGCCGATCATAATAAAGACCTTAAATAGATTTAAAAAAAAAAATAATTCTTTTTTATGGTTTTCATATAACAATTAATTGCTTTTTACTCAATATTTATTAAATAATACTTTAACGTTTATTAAAAATCACAATTCTTATATATTCAGAACTTTCATTAGGGTCGTAGTTTATTTCATTCAAAATAAAATACAAAGGGAAAGTTACTTAAAAAAAAAAACAGATTTTTGAATAAAAATGCATTTAAAATAAAATAAAAATCAGATTTACATGCATATATGGTGCTTCCAATATATAAAAAGGGAAAAATTTCATTTATATTATTTTTTTTTCCTCTACAAAAAAAAAATAATTTTATTCACAATGGAAATTGATAATCACCTTTAGTATGGAAGACGAATCACTTTAAACTCACTTTTTAAACTAAAAATATTGATTTATATTATAAAAAGAAATTAAAATTATTTTTATTATAAAAGCTAATCAACTCTTTTAGGCAATTGACTACGCGTCTACTATAAAAATATTTTAATTTTTTATTTTATCACTATTGCTTGAGTTGACTGATCGTTTATTACATTTTCCATATAGAAAGGCAGATTATTTTCGTGATTATTTTAAAAATGTGTAATTCAACAATATAATTTTAATTTTATTTTATATATTTTTTTTTTTTTGTTCTCTATAAAACAAAGTTTTATGTTAACTTTTTTATAAACAAATATATATATACATACATATATAACATCAATTCAAATAATATAAAAATTAAAAGAATGTGTACGTAATTAAAAAAAAAATAAATAATTAAAACGAAGTTAAATAATTTTTATAAATAAAACTAGTATACTATAAAATATTATTTTCGTCTTAGATTTTATTCGAATTCTATTATAATATCAACTTGAGAGTTAATTTTTAATTTTTTTTTTTAAATTTTGTTTTTATACATAATATTAAAATATTTTGAAACAAAAACAAAGAATATTTTAAAGAATCATTAAAAAAATGAAAAAGAAAAAGTACGTGTAAAGTATATAAGTTAATAAATATAATTTTAAGATATAATTAACATTTAGAAAATATTTAAGACGAAAAGATGAAAGAACAAAAATAACAGCAAAATTTAAATTTTAAGTCGATGTGATAAAATTTAAATGAATTGGTGAAAAAAAAAAGATATGTATAAAAGAATTTTAATTGAAAAAAAAAATACATTGCATTTTTATTTAAAATAATTTTATTTAAATATAATTATAATCTAAGATAACCTGAATAACATGTGTGCACGTTAATTTTCAATTGAAAACCAAAAATTAACAAACTATTTTAATTCAATGCTAAATTAAATTCTCAAATTAACAACCAGAAATTTTAGAAATTCAAAATCTAAATTAAACATTTGAAGTTATTCTAATATTTAATATTCAAACAAGTTGTTTTAAAATATAATTTTAAAGTTGGATTTCTGGTGTTGATATTTTCACTTCTAAACTAAAAAGCTGCCGGATGTTGGAAATAAAAAAGTATTAAAGCATTTTTTTCCATTTTGCATTTGCAAATATTTTTATTTAAATATTAAAATACTTTGCATATTAGTTTTTAACATTTTTAAGTTTACAGAATTACAATACACATATATCTTAATTATTTATCGCTATTTAAGCTTTCGGAAATGTCTGTAGCATCAGGATCATCATCATTATATTGTTCTACAGTAAATGTTTTAGGTATTTTACTATTCATTTTATTTTCTTTTATTGTAATAACATTAAATGTTCCAGTTTTTTTTGATAAAGTAAAAGTTTTATTTGAATTTCGTATACTAAATGTTTGATCCATTAAATCAATTTCATTTTTATATAATTCAAAATTATTATTTTTACTATTATTATTACTATCCATAAAATCATTTATATTTTGTTCAACATCAATTGATTCTTTATTTTTTTTATTTTCATTTGATTCTTTACTTCGATTAGTAAAATCTTTTTTTGTTCTTATTTCATTACTAATATTTTCAAAATTATTATTATTTAAATCAAAAATTTCATCTAATTTTTGTAATATATAATTATAATAATTATTAACAGACATTTCAAATCTTAAAGTATTCTTAGAACTAATATAATTTTTCGTAACATTTTCAATAGTAAAATAATCTGATTTTGAATATAAAACACAACCATTAGAATAATTGTCCAATAATGAAATTGCAATTATATTTTTCTCTGGATGGAATGTTATCCATGAAACATAACCTTCATTAAAAAAATATTCTTTAATTATATTTTTTAATTTAATATCCCAGCATATAATTTTTGTTTTAAATGACATGAAAATATATTTTCCACATTTCGATAGAGTAAATCTATTTGGTGAATCCTTTTGACAAGAGAAACTTAAATAAATTTGTTGAATTCCAGAACGAATTTCAAATGATGATAAAAAATTTTCTGATAAAATGTATATTCTATTTAAGAATGAATGTTGTAAGAATTGTTTAATATTACTGTTTAGTGGTGTGATTTTTCTAAAATTAAAAATTGTTGTTGTAATTTATGAATAATTTTTATATATATTTATTTGAAAATCAAACCTCAATGACCATTTAAATTTATTAGAATTGCCTAATTTCCACTCAATGACTACACCAGATTTATCAGCACTATATATTTTATTTGATTGAAATACATATGCAACACTGATAATTAATTCCTTATGATGATTTAGTTCTTGAATTAATATTAAACTATTTAGTTCATGTTCATTTTTCCATATACGTAGCACATGATCACGTCCTCCAGTAATAATACCCCCAAGAGTTGTAAAATTTTGTATTAAAAATGTTCCACAATAGACAAATGTTGGATGAAATAACACATGCTAAAATTAATAAATTTTATTAATCAATTTTAATTGATGCAATATAATATTAAAAAAATTACTATAATTTCATAGGATTTTTCAAAAATTTTCCATAATATACAGGTCTGATCTTCACTACATGACAATAATATTTCACCAATATCATCAAATTGTCTGTTAGACCATTCAAGGTAATGTATAAAACCTTCATGTCCTTTAAGAATATATTTAATTTTCATGGCTAAAATATCCAACAGTACAATATCAGATGGCTTCCTGTTATATAACACCGTATATGCTAACAAATCACAGTGAGAATTAAGAGCACAAGACGAACTACCTTTTGAATTACTGATGAAATTCGATTTAAATATCATTTTTTCTGGTATTATAAATTTATGACTTTCATTTAGTTTTGATATCTGGTTTAAATTCATATCATCATTTACAAAATCAGTGTCATTTGAATTTTCAATTGATAATTTATTTAATTCTTTAAAAATATTTTGATATGAATTTTTTCTTGAATCACTACCTTTGATGCCTTCATGAATTCTTTGACAATCAAATTTTATATTTAATACACCAGGATACTCTTTACGTTTACGTTTTGTCCATTCATCATAAACTGAATTATTGGAGGAAGATTTAAATGATTTATGAAAATAATATAATTGTAATGAAATAATTTCATTTTTAAGATTTAAAGCTATATCCGGATTAGGTCTATAATAACACCATGCTATATTATATGAATTTTCAGTTGATGTTATAGTATTTGAATTATCAATTATTTCAAAAAATATTATTATATTATAATGTTGTTGCATATAGTTTATCTCTTTATCTAATATCACAGTTGAGTTTTTTGGATTCCAGGAAAAAGAAAAGCTAAAAATTGAAAATATTGAATTTTAAGAATGAATTTTGATTACCGGAAGTAAGTAAGACGTTTTGGCCAGAATTTTACCTATTAAAATTAACGATTTTTCCATATTCAGTTAAAAAATAATTTCCATACTGTAAGTTTTTATCATCATCTTTTTCATCAGTTTTACTTAAATTTTTGCCGGAAAGAGCATCATATATTGTTATTCGAATTTGAGGTTTCCTGATTTTTTTATTAAATTTAAGTGCACTAGTTGAAACTGGTGTTACAACTAAAACAAAATAAAAATTAGTTTCAGTGTGCTACCCCTAGGGGTTTCAAAATAATTTTCTTGTCCTAGTCATTATGATTTTTGTTTAATGATTCAAGCTATACAAACCTAAAGAAAATTGATCATTTTGACTCCCTCTTTTCGATTTTTTATGCTTTTTCTTAATTGATTTTTCTAATAATTTTTTCTCTAACGATTCATTTTCACTTTGGTAAGTAATATCACGACTTCTTTTTTTATGTAATCGTTTTTTAACTTTATTCTTTCTTAAATTAGAATCTTCTAATGAATTTTCTTCTGTACTAGATGATGTCTGCTTTTTCATATTGGAAGAACTATCATCCGATTCCAAAGTATTACTAGAACCATCATCAGAACGGTTAATTTTTTTTTCCTCAATATTATTAGAACTTCTTGCCGTTGTAGTAGACAAGGATGATTTTGATTTTGATTTACTCTTAGATAATTTTCTATTTTTTAACATTTTTTTTTTATTTTCTTCCTACATATGGACTGAGTATCTTTATTTTATACTTAAATAATTAGACGTTAAGATCTGCATTGACATTGTTTAAAAGAAAAATTTTTATTTTTTAATAATTTCATTATACAAAGCAAATGTTTTGGATAATTATTATTGCTATGGAAACTTCATTGCTCGTAATTTTGTATATGAAAATTAGTAATATAATTGTAAAATATATGAGAACCTACTTCAAACACAGGATATTCTGAACTCAACAATGAAAGAGAAAAAATTTTTTGTCTCATAATTTAATACGGTATTATAACACAATTCAGCTTATATATTGTAATTGCTGAATTGTATATAAATACAGTATTGCTGAAATCCTGAATTCACCGTATTATAATGTAACGTTTTTGAACTCGAAATGATGGAGAAGGATTTTCGGCAATGAGGTAAGTATATTATTTAATAAGAAAATTAAGTTTATCGAGTTTACATGACCCTGAGCTTAATTACGTGTGGTTCTATAATAAAATTTGTTAATAGCTACACATTTTTACAATTTATCGTATATAATTTTTCAAAATTCAATTAATTTAATTTTCTCATATGTTTTTATTTACATGGCTATTTTACACCCGTTTTTTGAAAACGTTTCATTTACAGCTCAAATTTCCTTACACAATATTACAATTACAGTTTATAAAGCAAAATTATACGGCATTCAATATTCATTACATATTATATTATAGATTATGTATAAATGTAATTGTACGCACATGGCATTGAAAAATCTGGTCCCTTGACTTCCTAACCCCTTTAAAATATCTTCCTTTTTGTTAGAATAAAGAAGTAGTATTTTTTCTGTAAGTTAAAAATTTTTTGTCTTTTTTTTTTCTTCAGCACTCCCCTCTCCTAATATTAAATACTCTTTTCAAAATCCTTCTTATAATGCTCTCTATATTATTTAATTTTATGAGATCTTCTAACATTTCCTTTTTGCCTTTTTGACACGCTTACTCTCATTTTTGTTTTTTCTTTGTTCATTTTTGTTCTTATGTTGTTGAAAAGTTTTATGAAATCCAAAAGATTCTATTCGTTTTGCTATGATGTGATAACAAGTATAGCTACCAGCTACAATTAAACAGTGGGATGTTCTTTTTGTATAACAAAAACATGAGGCTAAATTTTATATTAAAGTAAGTATACGTACATACATATGTGTATTACATACAGATATTTTTTGGTGTATGAAGTATAGATAAGAAATTGTTTGAATATTCCTTCTTCTTTTTTCTTTTTTGTTGAATAAATTATGAAAAAGTAAAAAGAATTCGTTCTATATTGATGTTATCCTGTTACAATTTGATAATAATTTGCATATAATAATTATTGTGTTCTCTTTCATCCTTACAAACGCACTTACTTTCTACTATTTGTTATTTAAAAATATTTGTTGTATGTTAATTTCATTTTCTCTGTTTCAATTACTTTGTTATACCAAAGTGGAAAATGTATTCAATATTCTAAATGTATGAACGAACACCTTGCACTTGTGAAAGCATTAAAGTGTAAAATAATAATATCTTGTTGTCTTTATCACTTCTTTTCATACACGTATATACAATTAGATATACGATACCATTATAAGATATAAAGAGTTACTGTAGATATTGTTACTACTATTATTTTTAAAGATATTTTTTTTCTATTATACACAGTAGAAATATAAAACTACAGCTATTTTACAAGTTACTTACAAGACATCTTCTGTTATATTTACCAACTTGTATAGTGGAATATCTAGTGTACCTTATATGTCTGCAAGGGATTTTTGTCTTCATTTCAAAGATTTCGTATAACGTCAATATTGTGGCAATCATTAAGAGGATATTCTTAAATCAAAATTTATCTTGCTTCTAAAAATACTCAAAATTTATATTGGTATGAAGGTCGGATTCCAAATTTTAAAAAAAATCTGGCAGCACCTACCAATCTCTTCTATTTCAATCATTTTATGAATTACAATATATTTGAAATTATTCCTGCTGTAATAAAAATGATAAAGAAATATTTATAATATTCCATGAACTCAAGATTACAGTTTAATTTTATAAATACACAATTCAGCAATTAGGCATTATAAGCTGAATTATTTATTAATACAGTATTATAACATTTTAGAATTGACAAATTATTTTATATTTATTTATTGTTTATTGAGCATCTTCAGTTAATCCCCACGGCTTAAATATAATTAGTATTATTTCGAATATGTTGGACAGTGCGCCATACCACATAAATTTTTGAACAAGTAAACAATAATTTCAAAACTACAATTATACGCTATTAAAACACATTTCAGCTTATGAACTATAATTGCTGAATTATAAAATAATATCGTATTTTTGGAATTCGAAAGTCAGAGAAGGTATAGAACCTAAAAATGTAATATATTCTTTAATTTTAAATTAAAATTAAAGTGTTTAATGAAATTATTAAATCACCTCTATATATAGACTTTATCTGCTACTTTATTTGTGTGATTGTAAATGCTTTACGTAGGCCGTCATTATACTAGTATATAAACTGATAACGATTATCTTGAATATTAATTTCAAAATTAGTAAAACTAGTGGTAGGTAAATAAGGATATAAAATATGTACAGTATGTATCTATGTATAAAGAATTTAATATATGTATAAAACAAATAATCAAAAATGTTACATATTACATTTGTATATAGAAAGCTAACTATTATACATATACCTATATAAGGAACATATTATATAAATTATAAAATTAAAAGTAAATTTTTGATTGGGTGGTAACTTGAAAATTATACCAATATACTTTTGATTGTTAACTGTCTACTAAAAGTTAAAATAATAAAGGTATGTATATTTATGTATAATAAATGTAAAAATCAAAATTAGGTTGTGGGTGTCGCCATATCTTTGTTTTCTGTTTTTTTTTTTTCTTTTATTATTTACTGTTGTCCATTCAATTTTCTGTTATATTTGGTTAATCGCATTCATTCATCCATTCAATCTGCTTTATTATTTCCGTTAATCCAATATAATAAAGTATGTGTGCATGTATTCTACAATGATGTAGCATTCAATGTTTTACATAACTGTAGAATTTTTATTGTAATTTATATTGTAACTTTACCATCCTTGCATAAAACATAATATTATGACATGCACATACAAACGTTATTGAAAAGTATATTAAATTTCTATGTCGTTAATTCAATTTCTTGCTTACATATCTAGTGAAATAAAATTATTATTTTAAATTAATTAAGGTATATGAATACAATAAAATACATATCTAGAATAAGATTTTAGTGATAGATCTAATATCCAAATTGTAGTAGTACAATATACAGTGTATACTAATTGAACAATATAAATACTATGCGTATAACAGTGTAGGGTTATACGCATAGAGATAGATATACGAATATCACAGACCATTATGTGCTTATAACTGCTTGTTTCTACTTTCTTTGACTATAGGAGTGAGATAAGCACTTAAATGACGTCATTTTCTTTTATTCAGCAATTGAAATTATATAAACTTCCATTATACCCGTATATTGACAGAAGGCTACGCTTACACTACACGATACTAATAAAGGAATTTTTTTTTTAATAATGAATTTAAACAATACGCCGAAATTCTTGAATACTTGAATTTTCAGGGTTGCTGTATTATTACAGAATTCAGCTTATAAGTACAAATTGCTGAATTGTCTAATGATTCAGTATTATTAGAATTCAGATGTCAGAGCGTTAATTTACAATATCGTAAACACACTGTATCGTACAAACTGTTGATAAAAATTTATTCAATAATGACAGATGATTTGAAAAGTTAAACCTATATTCTGTATTCATTAAAAATATTACCATTATTTTCTTCATCCTTCTTCTATAGCTTTTGATTATTTTGTTATGATTCTTATTGGATTTTATTTTTATAACCTAAAATTATTATACTACCCAAAATAACCAACTAATCATTTCGATTCGTATTTTTTTGTTTTTGCTTTTTTTAAGTAGGTTGTTGGTAGGTTCGTCGTTTGTTCTCTATATTATAAAATAAAAATACATATATTCATTTTTACTTTTACTTCCTTTCAAAATAATACAAAAAATCACACAAACAAAATATAAAAATGAATTGAAAAAACAGCAACAAAACTCACATATTCCTATCCTATAATATAGTCAATAGTGTGTGAACTTAAAAAAACAGCAAAAGCAATAAAATAAAAAATTTTCTCTTCTTTTGCTCTCTTTTTCTTCTTTTTTTTTTTTTCTTATTTTGAAACCATACACTAGTTTTTGTTACTTACTCTGTGACTAGATTGGTGCTGTTTTCTGTTTGGTCGCTGTTATTTAAGTAACATAACAGTGCAATGCACCAGTCGTCATTTCAGTTATTTGTTAGATAACAGGCGAACAGAAATTTTAGTATGTAATTTTTCAACTAAAAATATTTAAAGAATTTCTACTGGTTTTTAATATTATACAGAAAGTAGCATATCAGAATGAACCATGAGAAATAATGGTCTTTCGGATTGGATTTTAAATTGGATTGGATTGAAATTTTTCAAAAATAAAAATTAAAACAAAAAAAAAAAAAAAATAGTAAGAACAGTAAAATAAAAATAAAATTGCTGTGAATATGAATGAATCTGGAATGGTGCTGTATAAAAACTATATGCGACAGTAATAATATTATTTTTTGTTTGGCTTGGCTTATTGCTGCTGGGTTGTGTGGAGTTTGTATAAAATTGATTTTTGTTTTTCCTTCTTCTTTGCGTGGAGTTTGTTTGAATGAACAAGATACTATTTTGTTCGTGGTATGGCAATATTCTCCTTTACTTTGTATTTATACCATTTTTGTGCTGTACTTGGTGTTGGCTTTACCTTGAATTAATATTTTTCTATTTGGTTTATTTTGTTTGTTGTGC